AGACAGACAGACAGACAGACAGACAGACAGACAGACAGACAGACAGACAGACAGAGAGAGAGAGAGAAAACAAAAAAAGAACATCAGCCTCACATGCTTCCTTGACACAAAAGAAAACAAACAGCTCCAATTGCTCCAAAACATTTAAAAAATATAAAGTTCATGAAAAGAACGAAAGTAGTAATTCACATCTAATTGAATAAGCAACGCCCATCAGAATTTCAGTTACTTGGTATATTTACTCAATTTTGCTGTTCAGCACTATTGATAAATTCATTTATTTTACTGTTCACAGCTTTTCCTTCCAAATAATATCAGCAGAATTTCTTGTTTAATTTAAGCCTCTATGGAATTGTAAAAAAGAGTATGTCCCTGAAAAAATAGGCCACCTTAAAGAACATATTTAAAACATTTAGTACAGAAAAGGAACAGACTTCTTATTGACTTACTTGGTAATTAACATCCTCTCTTTTGTAAAGAAGAGCTCGCACTTCATCTGGGTCACCGTGGAAACATGCTTGAACAAGAGGTGGCTGAGGAAAAGGAACATAAGTTTGAGCAGTAGCCAAACATGTCTTCTGCAGTATCACTTTTTTCTAAATAAAATTTCTTCATCCTTCAATATTGAGATGTCTCTCCTTATAGATTTTTTTTTTTTAAATATCAAAAGTATCATTTAATTTACTTGTGCATATTTTTATATTACTCTCTGTTCACTGGTATATATCACTTCTATATCTACCCTTTGTATTTGTTTTCCTTTCTAGAACACATTTCAATTACACTTTAATCTTTTTTTCCTGTCTTTCCAGCAGTTGTATACATTTTCCAGGTGATGATAACTGACAAGACACAACAAATGTAAAAGTATTAGGAAGGAATAGCACCTTCCATTACCTTCTCTTTTCTGGGAATTTTCTACCAACATCTCCATATCATGCTGTGTGATGTCCAAACAGTACGAAAATATAAACAAGGGTTTACTCTCAAATCATGCCAAAATCTAGTTTTCACCTCATGTGATCTTTCATTCCCCATATGTAACAGCAGGGAGAAATAAAACTTTCATTTTATTGTTAGTGGGTACTCCCTCATTTATGGGGATACAAAGAGTGTTAATGAGTGAATACACACCTTTCAGATCCTTTGCACTATTCAGATAGTTTAAGAGTGAGAGAGAGAGAGAGAGAGAGAGAGAGAGAGAGAGAGAGAGAGAGAGAGAGAGAGAGAGAGAGAGAGAGAGAGAGACTCTGAAGTAGTTTCATGTATGACAAAATCTTATATTATTGAAACAAACACGGACATTATGAGCTGTTTAATTAAACAACGTTCTCGTTAACTTGATGCCACGATGAAGCAAAGAAAGGAAAACTAATCTGTTGACTGTTGATGGTGTATATTCTTTGTTAATAACTTACCAAACTCAAGCTTCGAACATCTTCCCCAATCACCCATCCACCCCTTCTCAATCCCACCAGCCCTTTCCGCCTTGCCCCCC